GTGTTTTTTAAGGTGCAATTTTTAAACTATAACCCACCTGCTTAAAGGGAATAGGCCTTTTCTGCAGGCGCTGCTTTACTTGGACATTTATTGCGCGATAAACACAAGAAACATTTGTACTTCTGCATTCTTTCTTGGACAATTAGGTGAGTCCATTACTTGATTTGTCACTTTATATTTTGCTAATTTTGTGGAATTAAACTCTGGTCATAATTATTATTGTAATTGCTGAACAGCACCGGGGAAGAGTCTCTCCTCAGTTTTTGTTGCGGGAGATTCTCATCAGTATGAATAGTGAATGCGGCGACACAGAGAACTGGCACTATACGGTGGATGCTAAGTCATGCAGAACAAACAGCCAGTGTGCAAGTCTCGTTCCCATGTCCGAGAACTTTCTGAACTAACGAGCTATCCCAGAGCCCGCGCTGAACTAGCTGCACGCTGCAGGACGCCTACCCATGTATAATGACAAACCTCATCCCCAAGTGTTGATGTCAAACAGCTGGGCAGCCATAATTGGCCCATCAAAGACTAAATTCTGGACTTTTAACTCATTAATTTTACAGCTTTTCTTACTGATAAAGACCTCCCCCATTGCCAACCATACTTTATGTGAATTAAATGAAACGGTTTATAATTACAGGACAGCTATCAGAACTACTTCTGTAAATCTGACACATGTATTTCTTACAATTCAGTAGATACAGTAAAGAGTGTCAGGGGTGGGGCACTGCATGCACGCATATATTAGCGGCTTCTAGTTTTTAAACTTGCCCAACCTGACTCAACAATGGCCTTATTACATGGACCAGCCCTGTGTTAGCATTAGCTCAGCCAAAACTGCAGAAAATCCATAGTTAGAACTTTTCTTCACTTTTCACTTTCCTTCTATTTGCAAACAGAGTAGAAAGCATTCAGAGACGCACGGAGCAGGTGGATGGAGGCCGCTGTGCTGAGAGCTGAGCTCCTTCTACAACCATCTAAAGGAAATGCCCTCTGTTTGACATTAACCAGGCCCACGAGCACAACAAAGAAAAACAGAACTTGTTGGCCAGTGTTGGGAGCATTCTGCATATACACAGGTCTCCTTATTTGAAACTTTGGCCATGTTTGGTGAAAGCATTCGCCGCTGTTGATACATATCTGAACAGTGGTGAATCCTTTCGCTAAATATATGACAAAAACTAAGGGAAAGCATTGTAGGAACACTTGAATATTCACAGAGACACAGGAGTGTGTCTCTCATGCTTTTTATCTCTTTATAAAACAAACATTCCAATCTAATGAACAGAGGTTAGTCACTGAAAACGATTACACACCCAACCACACCTAACCTCCCACATACACAGGTATTTCCCTCACACACACACACACACACCTGTTCTCCAGATCTGGCATGGTGAGGTTTCTGCAGATGAAGCACATCTTCAGACTGATGACCTTTCTGTCTTTGGATGAGGAGGAGCTGCTGATGTGTTTGGGCGACCCTGAGTCATCGCTGCCGCTGTAGCTGGGTGACTGTGGGCGGACGCCGTCCCACGGCAGGTCAGCCACCAGGGATGGCTTCTTGAACAGTGGAGAAACCTCACGGATGTACTTCACTGTGGAGTAACAATAGAAGAAGCACATCAACCAA